TTCCTGCTTTAGAGTTGGAACACATATAAAGAAGTTTACATGGTTGCGTGCAAGTAGAGGCACCATTATGCATACAATCTTGAAAGAATAACCGTGTATTAATTTTTCATGTTGATATGATTTCCAACATAGAGAAAAGTTATAATAATTATATATAAATTGTTACAAATTATGTATATTTTATTCCATTGGTTTTATCTTGGTTATATATATATATACACACATATATATATACATATATGTATATATATATATGATCTGTCATATGTGTTATATATATTATGTATATATATAATCTTTTTTTGAACCATTTGAGAGTAACTAGGACACATGATGTGCTTTTATCCCTAAATACCCATAGATCTATATTTCATAAAAAAGGATAATCCTTTATATAACTATAATACAATGATGAAAATCAGAAAATGTGAAATCAATACAAAACTACTGTTGAATTCATAGTGCACAGTCAAATGTCATTATTATTATAATATTGTCTTTTATAGCTATTTGTTCTCAAGCCCAGATCCAATTTAGGATCACTTATTATATTTAGCTGCCATTTCTATTTTGTCTCTATTATTTTTTCAAGACATTCTCTTATTTAATGAAGATAAAATTTACATACAGTGGAATGCACTGACCTTACGTATACAATTTGATAAAGTCTGAGAAGCCTATTTTAATGTTTGTTAAAAGTGAATAGAGGCCTTGAAAATACTACTATCTCACAACAATTTGAATATCTCCTTTTCCATCAACAAGTAAAATACTTGAAACTAATGATCTTTACTACTGTTTTATGATAAATGCATTTAATAAACTGAGTACAACTATTTGTAAATATATTTTAGAATTTATCATGAATGTATAGAAACCTAAGTGACTATTTCATGACACTATTAGAAAAATAAAGGCACAAGGAAGTCAAAGGTCTTCCTTAAGTTGATAGAATGATCCTGCAACAGATCTGAAGATTAACTAAGCGGTTCTATCCAATGCCAATTTCTCAACCTGAAGGGACAGGGACAGCTGTGACATCTGGCAGCCGGTGTCAGATAAATTACATGGCCAGGAAGTCAATCAATTCAACTGGTCTTAATAAACGAGAGAAGCACATCTGGTACAGATTCGGACTTCCCCCTGTTCACGGCAGTCCTTACCTGGTAAAATCAATACTCTATCACTCGAGGCCAGGGGACGGCCGTCTTTGTACCACGTCAGCGTAGGGGGAGGAGCGGCGTTTGTCTCACAGTAGAGAGAAATGGGGTTGTTGATGATCACATCCTTGGCTTCTCCACTCCGGCCGGTATCCAGCATGTTTCCCATTTCCCAGAGTTTCTGAAAACTTGGAGGAACTACGGAGGAAAGACATGGGATTTTGGACACATGTGAATGCCAGTTTCAATCCATTCAACGAAGACCTTGGCTGTGTTCTCACGAGAGCGATATATAAATGTAATAAATTAGACAGCGTGGCAATATTTTCAGGTATTTCTACATCTACCAGCTCTAGCTGTGAGCCAGAAAAGTAGGAGATAGAAGCTGGAGCTGGGTCCCCTGGGAAGAACAAGAAGTACAGGCTCCGAATGCTACGCTCACCCCCTGCTCTCCTTCCCTGTCAACGCTGCCTGCACTCAGCAAGGAGCTACTAGAACAAGCCTGGCTAAGGAATGCCATCATAGCAGGAAAAACATATTTTGAAGAGCCATTAAAAAATAATGGCTCAGTCGAGAGCATTTCACAATAATTTGTCTTACTAAGAAAGCTAAAGGAGTTATGTCAAGATTAAGAAGTCCATTAACTAAAACAGTAGGATAATCTCAAACTTTTCTGGGGAACACATATAAACTTTCTAGAAGGTGATTTGCTTGTACATCAAAAAATATTGAAAATGTGCGTAACACGTGACCTAAAATTTCCACTATTAGTAACGAATAAATGAAAAAAATCAAAGATATACAAAAGTTTTATGTAAAACCACCCAGTGAAACATTACATATGAGTAATGAAAACTTGGAAATGACTCAGACATTCAATAACAGGAATCAGGTTAAATAAATACTTGGATACTCAAGTGCTAAAACAGGTATAGTTATTAAAAATCAGGAAAAAAATCATGTTGAGAGTAACTATCAACAATAATAGCAGGTATGATTTCTTAAGCATTTTTCTAAGAGTTTTACATACTTTACCTTATTTAATAGTCACCACATTCTATAAAACATTCATTTTCAAAACAAGGAAACTGGGGTTTAAAATATTTAGGTAATTTACCCAAATCAAAGGTTTTTTTTGTAGCCACAAAGTTTTTAGAAGCCAAAAATCATCATTCTATTCCAAGTCTGACTGCTTTAAATTCTGCATTTTATCTTTTCTTTCCATATAAATGCTACTTGACAAGAAAAAAAGAAAACGCCCTGGGCTGTGTGCTCAGTGGTTAGAGCGGCAGCCTGCACACAGAAGGGTTACTTGTTTGATTCCCGGTCAGGGACATACCAGGCTGCAGGTTAGATCCCCGGTCCTAGGCCTAGTTCCTGCTGGAGGCAACCAATCAATGTGTCTCACATCAATGTTTCTCTCTCTCTTTCTCTCTCTCTCTCTCTCTCTCTCTCTCTCTCTCTCTCTCTCTCTCTTCCCCCGCCCCTTCCTCCCTTCCACTCTCCCTAAAAATCAATGGGAAAAAATATCCTAGGGTGAGGATTAAAAAAAAATTTTAAAAAAAGAAAGCTTCATGATATAACATTGGGGGAAAACTAATTTAGCAAAGAAGTATGGATCATGTGATCCTAATTTATAAATGCAGTTTACATTTACAAAATAGAACAGAAGGAAAAATGTCAAAAGGAAACACATAAAAATAACTAAAGTAATCCTGAATAATGGGATTATTTTTTTCTTTGTTAATTACTCAAGTCCAGGTTTTCAATAAAGAATTCATATTATTGTCAACAGAAAAGAAACTATTTAAAATAAAACCAAGCCAAATCTCTTTTTCATTGCTTAGACATATCATGTAAATTAAATGATATACAATAAGCACATCAGTATTACCTTGTATATTCACATCAAAATCCAGCTCATCTTCACCTGCAATATTAGATGCCACGCAAGTATATCGTCCAGTGTCTGATATTTGAGCTTCCTTTATTTGAAGTGTGTGTCCATTGGCAGCAATATTAACATGATCATCTGATTTAAGGGGCTGTGATTCAATTATAATTAATGTTACCATTAAGTACTCTAATAAATCCTCTAAGAGACCATGCAGTTGATAATTTGTATAATTCAGAATAAACAGAATTAAATTTTATGTGAAATACTCAAAAGCATATCTTTTATTATATTTTGTCAAAAATACTAGAGCATTTTAATGAAAGGTTAAGGGCATTAACATAATCTGATTTCATGTAGAAGTCACTGTTGTTCATTTAGAAATATCATCACTTCATAAATAAAAAATTTTAACCTAGAGATATTTATATTATGATGTTTTATTGAAAGTATTACTGTACTTAATGGAATATTAACTCACAGATATTTATATTATGATGTTTTATTGATAACATTACCTACAGTTAATAGGGCATTTTTCATCTTCTACATATTCCTGTTTACACTAAGTTCCCTCTTATTCCTTGAAGGTTTTAGTTCCTGGGTCAATGTCACTTCTTCTAATGGTACTTTTCTCATAATTCTTCGTGATTTCAGTATCTAAATAGTTATCCAATGCTGTGTGCATCCAATGCTGTGACCTCTTCTCTAATTGTTTGTCCTCAACCCTCTCTCAGCCACTCAACAGGTAAGTCATACCTAGACCTTATAATTACCCATAACTGCACCACTTCATAGTCTCAGTTTCAAGTTCTCACTCTCTGAAGTTCTCAATCTCTGACCGCCACCTCCTAACTTTCTAAGTCACTTCTAGCATCCCAACTCCAATAAATTTTTGATCCCCTGGGAGGACCCACAATCCACGGGCCTTGCAACGTTATCAGTGCCTCTCACTCTCCTCCTGATCTCCATTCCCTTCTGACCCAGAGAAGTCTACTATGGCAATCGCTCCTTGTATAAACCCTCAACTCTCTTGCCTCTGTCCCTTTATTTTACTTCCCTGGCAAAACCCTAACCCTGGTTAATATCCGTCTCTGTCCATTCTGAGCTTCCCCTGGTCTACTCAAGGACATCCCTCCAGCAACTGTGTCCTCTCTTACCTACATCATCAGCAATTTATTCTTTCCCACCAGATTATTTCAATCTACATACAACATACTGTAACTTCCCCCATTAAAAGAAAACTCTCTTTCCCTCACATCCTGCTACCACCTTCATACCAGAAACCATCAACTCTCTTCTGGACCACTACAATAAACTCAAATCTAGACCATTTTTTTGTTCTCTCAATACAGAAGCAATATAATCCCTTTAAAACCTTAAGTCAGAGCATATCACTCTGTATTTAAAATTTTCTAGTGACTTCCTATCGGAATAAAGGACAACTGGTCTACCAGCAGTATAATCTGGCACTCTATTAATCTTCTTCTGTGTCCTCATGTGTTGGGGTCCAACCCCAGCAGGTCTAGGGGTCCCCAAAGGTGTGGACGGAGTCGGCGAACAAGGAATGACAAGGTTCAGTTGATCAGCAGCCTAGCCAGGATCTCTAGCCAGGATCTCCAGCCAAGTTCTGTGTTTTATTGTCTTGTTACATCTGTATTTATACCAGTTGATTTTAATCCTATCAATTTCTATTCCAAGGGTTAGGGCGTTTCTTATCTCCATTCCAGGGAGTAAAGATTATGTAGCTTAAGCGTGATTGTTCGTAGTTAAAGTGATTAACTATCCGCCTGGCACTTAGTTAAGGGGTTTTATTCCCTCCCTAACTTCAGGGAAAAATCCCTACCTGGGGAAACAACCTTTCTCAGAGAGGTGACCTTGGTTAAAACACATAGCGCCAAGAAGGGGAGCAAACATATTAAGAACAGTATACCGCACTAGCCTGCCAGTCTGTAGTCCCAGGACAGCAGAACCCTGTAGGTTAATGCAAGGGCCAACTGGGGCTGAAGAACTTTCAACAGGTTTCCAGACCCAGGGAGCACCCTCACTCAGCCCTAATATCCCATGAGTCTTTTGGCCTCTTCGCTCTGGGCCTGCAGGGTCTCACTTGCATATTTCTGGAGGAGTTCCATCTTCTTCCTTCGATCTCTTGCCTCCTTGATCTCTTGCTGCGATGGCACAGGGACATGGGTGATGAACTTCTGCTGCTCATCTTCGCCTCCTTTCTCCTGGCTGCCTTCCTCATCAGACTCCTCCTCCGTGACAGCATAGATGTTGATTTCTTCCTCCTCTTCCTTTTCTCCTCTTGCCAGCCGAGCCTCTCTCTCTGCTTTCCACTTTTCCACTAACTGGGCTCTGAATTTCTTTTCATATTCCTGTTCCAAAGGCACAATAACACCATCATCTTCATCTAGGTAACCATAGTATTCAAAATCAATTGCCTTCATGAGCTCAGCACGTGTCTTTCTTGGAGGAGGAAGAGGTTCTTTTTCAAATAGCTCTCTAACACCAGGCAAATCTTTTGCCGCTCCAAAGTATTTGTAACCTCGATTTCCCGGGACTTCTTTGCCTTCATGATCTAGCATTTTAGGGCCAACTTTTACATAATCAGGACCACCCAGCTCCTTTATCCGGACCTCCCAGTGTCCTTTCTCTCTTAGCAATTTGTTAATTTCATCATTCAGGTCACGAATTCGGAATTCACCTAAACCAGCATTCTGAATTTGAGCCACTTTTTTAGAGATCTCTCCAATGATCTGTCGTCTCCACTTCTCAGCTTTGGGCAAGTCAGTACATTCTGAGGTAAGGAAGGGTCTTCATTCCTTCACTTTTCCCTCTTCCAATTGAGCTTGGCGAAGTCTTGCTAAGGCCGTCATGGCCTTTTCTGCATTTCGGGCCATGGTGCAAGTGAAGGGGGCCGCCCTCGGACCGCGTGGCCAGAGAACTTCCCGGCCTCAGGGGAGGCCAACCCCGGCTGTTCGGGCACCAATTGTTGGGGTCCAGCCCCAGCAGGTCCAGGGGTCCCCAAAGGTGTGGACGGAGTCGGCGAACAAGGAATGACACGGAGACAGTGTTCAGTTGATCAGCAGCCTAGCCAGGATCTCTAGCCAGGATCTCCAGCCAAGTTCTGTGTTTTATTGTCTTGTTACATCTGTATTTATACCAGTTGATTTTAATCCTATCAATTTCTATTCCAAGGGTTAGGGCGTTTCTTATCTCCATTCCAGGGAGTAAAGATTATGTAGCTTAAGCGTGATCATTTGTAGTTAAAGTGATTAACTACCGGCCTGGCACTTAGTTAAGGGGTTTTATCCCCTCCCTAACTTCAGGGAAAAATCCCTACCTGGGGAAACAACCTTTCTCGGAGAGGTGACCTTGGTTAAAACACATAGCGTCAAGAAGAGGAGCAAACATATTAAGAACAGTATGCCATATACGCCAGGTCCCTTGAAACATATGCTGTGCAGATGTTTCTTCCCTGCAGTGACTGTGTCAAGCAGCAAGGATGGACCGGCTTCCGGCACTCATGGGTCACTGCACTCCAGCAAAGATGTCTCAGGGCCTTGGCCCTTGAGATTCTCTCTACTTTAGCATATTTTCCTCTCATATCTGATGTTTGCTTCCTTTACTTTCTTATCAGCGAGGCCTTCCCTGTATAAATAAGAGATCACACTCCCCGCACTCACTTTTCTTCTTCTTGATTGAATTTTCTCCACAACATCTACCCCATCTGGTCCATTATGCATTTTACTGCTATGTTTGTTTAGTTTTTGACTCCCTAAACTTCATATGAACAGAGATCTTTCTATTTTTTCTTCATAGCTGTACCCTCCTCACCTAAAACAAAGTCTTGCCAATAATATGCTATGATCAAAAAATAATGTAGAATGCTAATGCAGAATATAAAAGTAGGATAATTTAAAATTTCTATGCTAAACAAAAAACTTTAAAGTGTGAATAAATAAAACCCAAACGCTATCTCAAAACTTTTTGGGTCTAACATTGGCAATATTTTTAGTGAAGTTCTCAAAAACTCTGTTTTGTTCCAGTGGTGTTGCTTATCTGAAGAATGAAATAACAGAAGGATATGGGAAATAAACAACAACAACAAAAACCAGAGTGCTTTTTTTTGTACACATTCAAGGGGACCAATCACAAACCCTAAAAAATTTAACAGCTTAAAGTATAACAACTGGATCAATTTCAGAGTCTGGATTTGAAACTGTAATTTAACTACTCAGTATAAAATTCAAAACCACACGAAACTGTCTTATTCCTAGTGCAATTCTAATCATTATCAAATTTTTATGTGTGCATGTGTTTGCTTGTGTTTATGTGTGTGTGTGTGCATGTGTAGTAGCCACAATGAATGAAAAGCCTTTAGATAAAATTAGAAATAAAATAAGATTTGCAGGTGAAAGGAATTAACAAGTAAACTCCTATAGATTTAATATTGTACCATGAAGTGTGCTTGCACTCAGGAAAGAGACTGTAAACAGAACATGGTGGGAGTTCCTTATTTTTCCTTTTGTAATGGCTTCCAGATGAAACTTGCTTATTTTATGAGATGATTTTTTTAGTTGCCAGTATTGCAAAATCCATCTGTTAAAAAAATAAAGCTATATCTTTCTGCATCTTAAATCATGACTCGTACCCGAACTGCCACAACTGGATGTAACTGACCACTTGGTTGATTATGTGTAAAACAGGACAAAGATCAGCTTAGTAAGCACAATATGCACAGCAATGAAAAATCATCTATTTTGGTTTAATCACCAGCATCTATTTCTTTAAAACATGCGCGGAAGAAGAATGAGAAATGAGGGTATGTGGTCTGAGAGATCACATAACTGAAAGATGTGCTTTTTTTCTTTAAAAGTCTCTCATTGCCCCTAATTAATTATGTTGGGCACTTAATCATCACATCTAGCTTTCCCCTGCATCTTGGAAGGTTAAAAATGTTACCTTTTGTAAAAGAGTTAAAGATGTTTACAGAAAGTTCTGCTTAAGCTTAGTCCCCATGTTATGCCTGTCATAAGCTGGTTTAGCACTGTTTTTTGTGTTTCTTCTCTATTAAGTTTATTTACTATGTAAAACCAAAGAACACTAAAACCGTTCCCCAGTGGGAAGGTGGTTGAATTTTCATGGACAACTGCTAATGTACACAAAGACAACCCTTGTCAATGATGGAATAATACTAATATTGTTGAACAAAGTTAAAGTTGTGGGTTTTTTTTTTTGCAGATTTATATTCTTAGGAGCATGAGATTGTGCTAGTTTTAAGGCCACATTGATTCTCTGAGTTACTTGTGTCTGTTTTACTAGTATTATTGTTTGATTGACCACTTGAATCGGTAAGAAACCATCAGCAAATGAAAAATCTTGTGACTGGCCTGTCCATCCTTGTACCAGCTGAGAGAGGCAGAAGGAATTGCATAGGCTTCACATTCCAAAGTCAGGGTGGTGTTTACTTTGATCTTCACTTCTTTAGGGGAAAGACCTGGTCCCAAGAGGTCCCCTTTATTGATTATGGGTGGAACTGCATAAAAACAAATATTAAACCATTAAACACTGGTTCTTTCAACCATGAAAATCACACGGAGGATCACTTTACAAGAAAAAAACAAGGAAATAACTGAAGCATTTTCTATGCTCCCTTTCATCAAGAACCCAAGTTAGGGTCGTACGAAAGGGTCATGTTCAGATACAGATTATGAAGGAAAATATCATTCTCCCTTTGTCATTATAACACTGACAACGAGGCTAATGTCCTTTCCAGACAGTTAGCTGCATTGGTTCCAGGTCCCAGACACAGTGTGAGCAAAACATAAATGCATTTTATCGGTCATTAAAGAGCCAACTCAAAGAACTAAAGACAATCAGAAAGATCCTCTCCCTTTTAAAACACAACACAAACTCTTGATATGTTGGTATTATAAATACTCATATTAACTTTTGTTCCCCCCCCCCCCAATTTATTTTACTTATTTTTTCTTTATTGATTAAGGTATTACATATGTGTCCTTATCCCTCCATTGTCCCCCCTCTCCCCCTCCCCCGACTCATGCCCTCAACCCCCTGGTGTCTATGTCCATTGGTTAGGCTTATATGCATGCATACAAGTTCTTTGGTTGATCTCTCCCCCTTACCCCCGCCCTCCCCTACCTTCCCTCTGAGGTTTGATGGCTAGCTTTGCTTTTTATTTATAGGTCAATGTACAGTGGATCTGTCCAAAGACACTGATGAACTCATCCTACACTGCTGATGAGAGCATATGTATTCAAACAACAGTTTTATGCACAAGAGTACTATAACTTAGCCCAGAGGGTAATTCAGAAGGAAAAATAGAGAAACTTAAGGAAGTGCCACCGACAAATTCTCCGAGATATTTGTGAGCAGACTGATCGGGCTCTTTACATCATTAAGCAATCGAGGTCATGGGCACCATGTTTAATTTAACATCCATCTTAATGAAGCAAGCGGCATAAACATCAAACTTTAATAATGAGTATAAATAATTATGGACCCATAAAAACAGAGCTGGAAGAGTGAGACAACTTGGGGGAAAAATGAAGCATAGTGCTCTCTCAGAACTTACTGTAGACCTTCACTTCGTAGTGCTTTATCATTTCCCCCGCCTCATTCGTGGCTACGCAGGAGTATCTTCCAGCATTGTCCTCCTGTGCATTTAGGATCTGCAGAGTCCTACCTCCTGAAAAATCATGGGACACCAAACAATCTTTGAAATTACGGCGGCGGCAGAGCATGCACAAACTACCAAGGTTTTAATTCTTACTATTGGTATATTTTTCTTCTATATGCCAATTCTGTAATAGGTATTGAACACAAGACAAAGTACAAAACAGATGGCCGCTGCATGACCACCTCTGGCTCATTCTGACCCTCCCATGCCTCTGTACTCAGTCTAGCTAAGGTCCCTATTTCACTCTTTATAACGAGGTCTCTCCCTCTTAGTCATCTTCTCCTTCTCATTTACCTGGCCTATCAGTAGAGGTTGGTCTTGCTAAAATACAGTTTTTATTATGGTACATTTCTCCTTAAACATCTTCAATGGTTCTCAACTGACTAAAGAGTAAAGTCAAAACTCTTTAATCCAGGCATTCAAAACATGACTCTAACCTTCCTTCCTGACCTTTCCTCCTACCTGCCCCCCTCTGTGTAGCAGACACACATAACACACATATACACACTGTCTCCACTCGTTTGGGAGGGAGGAGTATAATTATTATTACTTGCACATAAATAGGCTATTTTTACTTTATACCTTTCCCACCTTAGTCATCGCGATGGATCTGAAATCTCTCCTAGTTCATTTCCAAACAAAGAATTTCTATAACTTTGCTTTAAGGTCTGGTTCAAGTTCTGACTGCAGCTAAGCATTTCCTAACCACTTCAGCTCACTGGCCATTCCTTCTTGTGACTCCTCTAAAACTTGTGACTATTCCATTAATCATGCCCCATGACTATTCATAACCCATGAGTATTCATGCATTCATGTTGTTAATTAACTTTCACATGTTTTATTTCTCCTCCACATAAGACTGTAAATTTCTTAAAGCCAGTGATCATACTTTTTAATTCTTTCTATTTTCATACATATTGCCAGGTATTAGTGTGGAATAAATAAACTCAATTGAAATACTAACTTTCAAGGCTCAATTCAACAAGAAATAAATTTCTACACCTTTTTTTTTGGCATTCCACATAACATATTTTAGCAATTAATTACACTGTGGTATTTATTTGCCTTTTTATTTAGGTATTTTATTAGTCTTTCAAAAAGTAATTTCAGATACCTTACATTACAGTACATATACAAATAATTTTATAAATTAAAATATCAATAGAACATAACACAACCAAGAACATAAGTACTTCAATAACAAAACTCCAACGAGTCTGCTTTTCTACAATAGTAGATGGTACAAATGCACCTCAGGCATCTGA